CTTTCTTTCTTTCTTTCTTTCTTTCTTTCTTTCTTTCTTTCTTTCTTTCTTTCTTTCTTTCTTTCTTTCTTTCTTTCTTTCTTTTTTGGCACGGGGAATCAGAAAAAGAGGTGTTCTTTCATTTGCTTTTGTTTTTAAAGCATCCCTTAAACCATTGAGTACTTTTCAAGTTCACCGTGTGAAAAATGACAGGGAGCCAAGAACGGTGACACACACTTTTGATTCCCTGCACCGGGGAGGCCGAGGCAGAAGGACTCCCGTGTGAGGAGACTGTCTTTAAATACAGAGAGGGAAGGAGAGACACAGAGACATGTTTAATGGAAGGGGTCTAAGCAGCACATCTAAGGGTTCAAGCTTTTTGATCCAGCAGATTCAAAGTGGAGTCCAATGCACTTTAAGTGAACGGCCAAATGCCGAGGTCTGTGGGTCTGTGGATTGTGGTTTCAGACTTTAAATCCACACCGGCGAGTGAATGGCTCTTGTTTTTCAGACTCCCTTGCAATGGTAAGGGCATGGAGAGTGGAGACAGAAGCAATATCCGACATCCCAGATACCTTAGAAAGGAAAAGGCCTGATTGCGTGTGCATGGCAGCCATTTGTACAAGTGTGCTGTGAATAACACACTCAAAGGAAATGAAGCCACACCACTCTCCTGCTTACCCCGTCTGCCCACGTGCTTGCAGACCTGGGTCCAGTTCAGTCCCGGGAGCTCAGGTCTGACCAGAGGCCCCAAAGTCCTCTCCATTGGTGGCTGGCCTGGCTCCTCGGGATGCTCTTGTAACACGGAGCTGACGCTAAGAGGATGTGGTTTGCTTTGAGAATGAGGCTGGCCAGAGCCCTTCTGTGCCGGAATGTGTCAGAACTAGAGAAGTAGCACTGGTTCACCCAATCTTGCCCTGTTTGAGGCTTTTCTACCTTCCTTCAGAGCAGATCATTCTTAACATCTTTATATATTAGGGTAAGAAACCAAAGTTGCCAAGGAGCGTTTCAGGTTAGTTATTCTGAAGCAGTATCCTACTTTTTACCTTCGGAGGGCAGCGGGTGGGTTAATTTGGTTTTGGTTCCCAGTGTTACACACAACACACCTGAGTGTTTGCCAGGCTGACTCAGACTTCTGCTTGGACCCTCCACTGCCCCCCTGCCTCCCCCCCCACTTCCTCACATGCACCCTTGCTTCCTTTCCCCACCCCAACTTTCTCCATCTCATGATGAAAATAGGATGAAAAAGACCTGGGATGTCATGGACCCAAGGAGTCTTCAGTCGTGACCCAAATGCTGTGCCATGCTGTTCTAGATGATTCCTGTATAGTGGCAAGAAATGGCATACCACTTACCTGCCCGGTGCTAGGAATTGCTCCGAGCACTTCGTGACCATTAACTTACTCAGTTCTCACAGTGAATCTACAAGGTCTATAACATAGGTGATATCGGCCAGGAGCTAGCAGCGCACGCCTTTGATCCCAGCACTCCGGAGGCAGAGCCAGGCAGATCTTTGTGAGTTCAAAGCCAGTCTGGTCTACAGAGCAAGCTCCAGGACAGGCACCAAAGCTACACAGAGAAACCGTGTCTCGAAAAACCAACCAACCAACCAACCAACCAACCAACCAACAAAAAAACCATAGGTGCTAGCATAAGCCCATTTTACAGATGAAGAAACTGAGGCACAGAAAGGCTAAGTTATCTAAACAACATCATGTAACTAGTGGACAGTGGAGGAGTCAGAATTCCAACCCTTCTGCTATACTTAGTTATTATCTGTGTCTCCCATAAACACACAGAGACAACAACAACAACAACAAGGTCAACAAATTAAAAAACGAACAATATTCTTTTTGGAGGAAAAAGGAAATGAGGTTACGATTTGATTCGAGACTGTAGCCTAAATGAAGGTGGAATTCCTCCGAGTTCTCAGATAGTCACCGTGGGCCAAGAATGACCTCACTCCATCCTCCCGCCACTGAAGGCCGGTTTTACAGCTTCTGGTTCAAATATTTACATAGCAAAGAGAACCGTCCTTCACACATGACTCATTTTCAGTATGCTAGACCCAAGCCCCCAGATAGAACTCCTACGTCTACCATCTCCTACGAAGCACTGGAGAGATAAGAGGCCCACACTGAGAGAGCCTTTGACGACCACATCTGGGGAGGGGGGTTTACCTGGATGGAGACTGACATACAGACTCCTTCCAGAACCAATGGTGCTTCAAGACGAATGCCATCATAATGTTTCGGAGTCTGAATCTTAATTGTGTTGCACAGCTTGTAATCAATCTCTTTAAATCCGCCCCCTACTGTTTTCGTGATGTCTTGGGACCTATCTAAAACTAGGCGCGGTGACTCACATCTGTAATCCCACTCCCAGGGAGGCTACGGCTGGAGGACTGCAGTGGGTTCAGGGTCAGCTTGGGCTACATTAGTGATAACCTGTCTCAAAAACAACAACAAAAACCAAAACAAAGCAAAAAACTCAGAACAAAATAAAAACAACGGCCATACGATACTGGAAAACTGTAAGGTAATACATATGAAAGTTTGCTTGGACGATTGTGATCATCATTATCACTGTACTTATCTCAAGACATCTTGACTTTCAATTACTTTTCTCCTCTACCTCCAAAGTAAACTTCTTGAGGGCAGGAATCATACCTTACTCATCTCTGCCCTTGAAGAACTCTTCTGAGGGTGTAGCTCAGTGGTAGAGCATTTGCCTAGCATAGCCAAGGCCCTGGGCTCAATCTTGAGCATTACCACCAAAAGAAAAATAAGAAAAATATCTTTAAGCCTGACTCGAAAACCAAAAAAAAAAAAAAAGAAAGAAAGAAAAAAAAAGAAAAAGGCGGGCGG